GGTGTAAACCTAGTCTTGTGGTATGAAACTGAGTGTTGATAAGGCAGGAAAATTTCCAGCCTGTCACAAAGATCCCAGTAAGTGGGCTAGCATGCAGTTCCATCTGAACACATCAAACTTTAACAATATAAATACAGGGTTTGGCGAGTTCTTGGAAACCAAGCCAACCTCTTCAACTGGCTCATATGAAGAGTCCATTAGTGGGATATTCTGTTGACCAGTGCAACAAGCCTCAAAGTTTGCTCACGCCCCCCACTATAATTCATTCATCCATTCTCAAGACACTAGTCCAAATGCATACAGTATCTATAATATTGGAAACGATTTCTTGAACATATTCTATAATACTCGCCCGGAATATTCTCTCCAAAATGTTATACTAGTGAAAATGAAAGTACGGTTTAAAACTTTAGACTGATTTGAGCGAACCAACAAACCTGAAGTTGTCGAATACAAGAACTGACATGCACTTGTTTCAGACACAGCACTTGTATCTTCAGCATCACAATCTTCTTTGTCAGATCTCGCTTTCTACGCGCGTATTCCTCAGCGTCTTCAGTCTTTCCATCAACAGACTCCAGAGCTCCCCACGACCCCATGACCCAGACGGTCAAAGGCTCGGAACTGCTTTCTTCATCTAGCCTTTCTTGCTGGGCACTGAGCGAAAAACACTGGCTTTGTATTTCCGTCTTCAGGTGGCGATAGCTGATTAGCGACCGTGCAATAGTTTCATCCTGGTCTGTTTTAATGGAGTCTAATTCCCAGTCTAAAAGACGGGACGATTCGAACAAACCACCGATGTCCACCATATTGAATATTCCAACCTCGTTTCCGAACGATAAATTATGGGTAGAGGGTCGGGCAAAGCTGAGAGAGGCGGGGGAGGGGTAACATGGGATTTGGGTTCAGACATTTCTAAGCCAAAAACAAATGGATTTTTAAAACTTTAGTTTTAAAAAAAGGCTAATTCACGTATAAAGAAATAATGGGCAGTATTATCCAGATACCACAGTAACTTCCCGTCTGTGGTTATCCTGTGTTTGTGATTTTTTTTTCGTTTTTCCTGGACCTTCCTGAGGTGTGGTGTTAGAAGCAGCACGGCCACTGGCAATGGTTTATATAAGACCAACCATGAGTTAAAATAATAATAATAATAATAAAAACAGTCCAAACAATATCTTCAATACTTGCTCTAGAAAATCATGCGATTGGCATGGCTTTTGCGAGAGCTAGAAGTCCTTTCGATCCAGATGCCGCGATCTTTTTGGTCAGCTCTGAAAATGCTTCCCGG